CCACATGCTTTTTAAGGGTGTTGAAGTCTTGCGTGTGTACGGTACTAATCTGTGATGTGCATATCCAGCAGGCCCCTCTGGAGCTCTTGCGGTGTGGAGGTGTAGAAGTGTAGCGAGGTGATGCGGCATGCGTTTCTTTCTAAAGCGTGTGCTTGTGGATATACTTACTTGCACTGTGGTGCCACAGGCTATGGGGTTTGTTTGGCGTGGTTGGGATGGGTGGTGGGATAGGATGGGATGGGTGGTTTATGCGGGGGTTTTGGGTATGTGGTGGGTATGGGTGTAAGCGTGGGTGTAGGGGGTGGACATAGGTGTAGACATAGGCCACGACTGCAGACACTAGATTAGGGGTTTCGGTAAGGATACGGATGTGTGGTCACGCTACTGGTCTCTGGAAGTTGGTAAGACTGGGTTGTGTGAAGAGGTGTTTTGGATTGGAGGGTTAGCGGGTAATTGGTTGGGGGGAGAGGTGGGAGAGAGATGGGTGAGAAAGTAACTGGATGACTGGCCACCCATCTATCCATCTACCCATCCATCCAACCATCCAACCACCCAACCACCCACCAAACCCTCAAAAAACCCCAATCCAACCCCCTCACCCCAAACCCCAAAAACCTTCAATCCACCAAGAAGCACACAAACCAACCAGCCAATTCAAAAAGTAAATACATAAACACAACCCAAGCATACACACCAACACCCGTATCCGCAACATGACATGACATGACCAGAAACAACTCACCTCCATCCCACACCCACAAATAGCCTCCCTACCTATTCCACCACACCCCCGCCCCTACCCCCGCAAACCCAATCCCCCTCTAAAAACCCCTCTAACCCGCCTCCCCATCCCATTCCAGCACACAACACACACCCCATACCACACAAGAACCGGGCTGAGCCAACACCAGCTCTTTTCTCCCCGCGGGTCCTGGGGTGATGATGTGCGCGCGGGGATATCTCGGGGACCCGGGGTTGTAAAGGGTGCTGGGGGCGCGGCAGGGGGGAGGGGGTTTTTGTTGGGGGATGGGTGACGGGTTTGGTATGGTGTGTGGGTGTTGGTGTGGTGTGATGGTGACGATGGTGAGATGATGAGGTGGGGGAGGGGTTAGGGTGGTGAAGATGGGGGTATGATTTGATAGGACACGGTAAGATTGTGGCGTCTTTTTTCTTATGGATGTGTGTGGGAGAGAGGGAGAGAAACATGCAGTGCTATTCAATGGTTGGATCACGTTGGTTTGTGCTTGTGAATATATCGCTACCGCTTCATTCGTCTGATTCAATAGTCTGCAACTTTGAGATTGGTACGACAATAGTAATCAACCGCCAAAACAGTGAAAAAATCCGTGCCTCCGATCCAACGCCTATGAACCCGCGCTCAGAAACCAAAGTGTGGACTATTGAAATCCGCTTCTTTTTTTGTGTGAAAACGATGATGCATGAACTGTCCTCGTGGACCCAGAAGAATGAGAAAAAAAAGAAATTGGTATCGTGACCTCGTGAAAATCAAAATGCCCCTTTGTGTTGCAATGACTCCGTCCGCTATGCCCACCGTGCCCGTGAGATCCCGCTCAGGCCGCTGCTGATGACTCGTCCTGTCCAACGTGCGTCGTGATGCAACTTCACCTCGCCCTCAAAATCAACGTGGATGCAGTGACGACACAGATTTCTAGTGTCTGTTGGACAAGAAAGTGTGCTTCTCAAAGCTCATGCGCCTCTGCCTCTCGGCTGCGCTCATCTCGCCCGCATTCTTGGGAGGGAGTGCATGCTTTGCATTGACCTGGAGAGGAGCAAAGATCTTTGGACCCAGAATCGGGCTGTCCGCGGGCTTGGTGCGGGGAGATGATGGCGCGCTGATGGTGCTAGCGTCGGATGCAGCAGTGTCTGAAGTAGCCACGCTGGTGATGCTAGAGATGGAGGAGATGGACTGGTGACGATGGGGAATGCTGCTTGTCGGCACGTTGGAAAGAAAGCCGTGGGGAGCGAGGTTGGCAACGGGGGAAGTGAGGGCAGCAGACAGGACTGTTTTCTTGGGGCGAGTGTTGACGGCGAGAAAGTTCTTGGGGAAGGGAATGTGGTAGGTAGAGCTGGTGGAAGACATGGCGGCTGGTTGGATGTATAATTGGGGGGCTGTTGGTCGGGTGGTGGCGGGGTATGCGTGGGTGAGAGCGTGTATGTGTTCTTACTTGGTGTTTGTGGAAAGTTGTGGGCGGTGGTAGTGCTAAGCAAAGATGGAAAAAGCGGACGACGTCTGCTTTATAGTATTGGGAGGGGGGGTGAGAACAATGTGGATTTTCTCGGGCCCCGTACCAAGGGTGTTGTTGTGACTCGGTTGGGCGGAGGGGGAGAAGTAGCGTTGCCAAGGCTTACTGCAAAGGGATTGTGCGTGTGTCAAGTAGCGGATGTGACTGGCTGGAACGTCTCTGATGGTGTTGATGTGCCAAATAAAGAGAAAGTGCCAGGGCTTGCGCAATGCCTGGTGAAATCCGCTTGCCTTGCAGATGCAGCCCGCTCGTGCGTGGGTCGGCTGTGGGCGGGTACCTAAACTAGCGTACGATGTTGCACCGTGTCGGCGAATTGTGCGAACTTCGAGGTCGCAAGCGTGGGATACCTTTTCGCAGTTGAAAGTTGAAACTCGGAACCGCTGTCTTTGAGGCAGTGGGAGAAGCCTGTTGATGCTGAGGGTGGGCGAACGTGTCCAGTCTTCTTCTTCTGCAGATGGCTGTTTCCCAAACCTCTTCCCAGGAGGCATCTGCTCAAAGAATGCTGGGCAGGTGCGTGCTTATTTGGACTGCGTAAGCACCTGGCTGTGTATTCGTGACAAGTAAAGTATCAAGAGACCTACTAGTCTTCCGCGACGAGTAGTGCTTAAAGATTAAGTTGATCGTCAGCCTGAGTGCGCTTGGCAAGCCCCAGTGGGTAAATTTGAGTGGGGATCTCCATGAATCTGATGTTGGTATGCCTGCTCTCTGTGTTTATGGATGTTAATGCGGTTTGAGGACCCCCAGGGCAAGTGAGTTGTGCACAGTACGTGGTGTTGTCGACGTTTGGGATGTCTCGGTTGTTGACCAAGAATGCTTGGCTGAAGATCGGGAGGCTGTTCGACGCGGCAGAGTGGATACTTTGGCTGCACTATGCACTCACTGTACGCAGCAGATGGGAAACAACTGCGAATCTCAAGCCGATTACTACTTGGAACAGGACCGACGAAGGGTACAAGTGTTTCCAACACGACTAACGTTTCGATCTAATGGCCAATTGTCGGGTCTAACTGATCGAACATGCCAGCCTGTTCCGAGGTCCAAAAGCTCAGCGGCAGAAGCGTGCCCGTATCAGTCAGGGTCTGCTTATGCAAATACTGTGTTGTACATGTAGAAAAACTGGAGAAAATCGGGGGGGCCGCTCCACACAGGTCCTTCGAGGCGAGCTGCCGGCGTCATGCGTCCTGTGGTACAATAGGCGTGGAGCAAAAGTCAGCCAAACCATCAAGGTTGGCGCAGCCACCGCGCTCGGTGGTGGTTAGGTACCTAGCCCTTGTGGGATGAGTCTGCCAGACGAGAAGCTCGTAGGTGCCATGAGGCGAACACTGCCCGTCGCCCATGCAAGCCAATCCCCCAGCCTGTACACAAAGGGAGATTCTCACAACCTCTGCCCGCGCGCTCACCCTTGCAAAACCGCCTGCGCTGATGCCATGTGACCTGAAGTTGCTTTTGCAGCCAATTTCCCGGGGAAATCTAGACGGCGGTGAAGGCGCGTGCATGGCGCATCTTGCGGGGGTCAGGGACAGGCCGCAGGCGGATCCGCGCGGTCTGGAGGTTTGGAGTGACGGTAAGCCGAAGATAGCCTGGCTTCACGAGCCGTGAGTCGTGGATGGAGTTAAGGATGCTAAGGATGCTAAGGATGCTGGCGTGATGGTGTGATTTGAAGAGAAGAAAAAAAGGACGAACAGGCCCGGCCGAGGTTGTCGCGCGTTCTCTAGTCTAGGCATGTCTAACCACGTGCCATGTTTACTTCATCTTCGTCTGCAGAGGTCTGCCAAGCGAGCGTTGATTTCCCTCACCCGCATCTTTGCTCGTCAATAGCCATGTCGGATTGGACTGGGGGGGATTGAGTCGATTTATGCATCTTCCTCTCGAAGGAAATGGCAAAGCAGTTTGATCCCTCAATCTAAGCTGCTGTGTGTAGTGAGTGGCCTTTGCAGCACGCTTGAGTACAGGGTCATACCGGTATTACTCCACCAGAAAAATGCTTCACAGTAGAGCCAAACGCAACAAAGATAGGGTTTTTTGAGATGCATTGGCAGGTAAAGTTCAAAAGTGCCTACCGCCCTCCTGGTTGCAACTTGCAACTTCCCTCAGCGATACACCCATCTGAGTTAGAACCTTTCCCACTAGTTCACACTTCACACGTCTTCCATGCTTCAAGTCTCCTCCTTCTCTCATCTTCGAGCATCCTTTCCCAACCACGGTATCTTGTATTCATTCCAGCTCGATGGCAGCTGCCTTGGGCACTTCTACGTAAGCCCTCACGAGTCTTTCCACCTTGCTTGGCTCACTCTCTAACGCTGACTGACAGCATCCTGTCTGGACAAGAAGAGATTCCAGCACCACTGCAATTCTTCAAAGGCATACCATGTAATACATACGAAGACTTTGGGATTTCTCTGGAATGAACATGCGCACCTGTTCTGACCTGCTTGTCGCTGAATATCTGATATCGACCATTCACAGCTGATGTCAGACGTACTCAATCTCATCCGACCTCAACGCATGGCAAAGGCATACATGTGACAGCGAGGCATACGATTAAACCAATTATCAAGATCTAAATGCAATTCATCATTGTACTCGCTACTCCCGTTGACGCTCCTTCCCTTGCAGGCATGCAACACGTCCAACCGCGTTCGTTTGCATGCTCCACTTGACAGCGCGACCGGCGTCTACCGTTTGCTTCCAGTGCGACTCGGGATCGACACTTTCGTCGAGGCTTCTACGAGTACCACGCGAGCAATTGACAGAGCTCTTTTGCGTCCGGCCCTCGGTCTGATGCGTCCTACTAGCTTCATCTTCTCTTAACCTGCTGCGAGGCAAAGTCCAAGGCAGTGCTCTCACCGTGAAGGCTACCACGTCTACCAGCCAGAACCTTCTAAGATTTGAATCTTTTTTGCTTCGATCTACGCCAGCCAGGTTCACTTCACTCTCACGTACTTTGCTAGCGCGTCACGGACCTGAGCCGCCAGCGTCAACATAAAAAGCCAACTCCCCCCTCACCTCGACTTGATTTCCTCCACCTCACTTTTGATCAGAGGAGCAGCACTCCTTTCGCCAGAGGCATCTCTTACACTTCACCGCAATCCTTTGCAAAGCTCACCCAACCTTGACACCCCTCACCAAAGCTCACTCCCCACCCACACTGCTCTCAAAGCTCACTCCACACCTACACCACTCTCAAAGCTTTTCCAGCATCTCCGACAACACCAAGATGAGCATCTCCAATGACGGCCAGATGGCCAGCCATGACAACGACATGATCATCACTGGAGACGGCAAGATCATCATTGACGTCGATGAGTTGACCTCTGAAGTCGACAAGATGAGCACCGACGACAAGATCAGCACCGACGATGACCCCTCCAATCGTAAGTAGAGCTGCGCAATCAGATCTATGGATTCATGCACTAACAGCCCCAGGTGACCCTGCCAATATCACCCAGGTATTGCCTAATGCCAACTATGCACCGCTCCACAAGACTTCGGTAAGTTATCCTGAATCCAAACTGATCACATGCGGAGATTAATCTCAAGATCCCATATATAGTCCAAGCCGTACATGCCATTCGACGTTATTCACTTGATCGCGACGCACATGGATAGCGCTGTTGAGGTCGGCAAGATGCGCTTGGCCAGCAAGGACTTCTGTTGCGCAGCCTATACCCCCTTCATGAAGTTGATCGGCGAGGGCAGGACCATCTATCCTAGGTATGACTGCTTTGGCAAATTCCTTTCTCTTTTGGCCGCCAATCCCAAGTTGGGGGTTCACGTACGCAACATCACGCTGGTCTCCGAGGGACTGAGGGAGCACGAGTATCGGTCCATGTGGGCATGGGAGTTTCTCGAGGATAAGCTGGATCTCCCCAAGTTCTCGGTCGAAGACACGGACATCATCAACGAGGTCAACTACCTTCACGCCGAAGAAGCCGTCGACAACGCAGCTTTCCTCAACACCGGCGGCTATCGCACCATGTTGACGAGGCTTCTGAGTCGTCTTCCTCGTCTCGAGACAATCACGATCCGCAAGTTGCGCCAGGGCGAGCATACACCAGGCTGGACGGGACCGAACCTTCTGCAGGGACTGAGCTTCTACCGCCCAGACTTGGACACCAACGACATCTACTACGGCGACTGGAAATATGATTCTCTGCACAACCGCATCACCGAGTACATCGACGAGTTTGGCGAGGAGTTCAAGGAGGAGGACGCTGGCCCACAGGCTTCCTTCCAAGAGGACTTTGACGCGGCATTCTTGGCAAGCGGCACCATGGCGACTGTTGTGGAGGTTTGAGGAGTTCTGGATATGATCTGAAAGTTCCGGCTAGGTTGCACTGGGTATGTGCTGGGTTGAGATGATGATAGACCCCTGATATGAATGGAAATGTCCTTTGACACGATCATGATGCCTTTTGCACGATGAAGTGACGGTGAAGAATCATCTTGTAGTGATGCAGTATATGCTACACAACATGAGTGATTCATCAATGTAACTCTCAAACATGCCATCTTACACTGTTATGATGTTACATCAAGCCATCCAACATCTCATGGCCACACCCAACCATACCCTTCCTACTCTCCCATCCAACCTCTACCCATCTGTAAGCATTTATCGGTGGTACGCGAGGGACGGATTTCAGTCCCC